TTTGTGTGCTTTTTCAATCGCAAAGTTCTCAGCTATTTAATTTCCTCTAATATTTCAAATAGTTACCATAGACATTTCCTCACTTTGATGAATTCTGTTTGTAGATTTGCCCTGCACCACTTGGGAACGGTTAGGAAATTTGGTCAGCATCCCTGAGATTTAAAGCCCTAGATGTTTTGCATTATTAAAAATCTTATAAATGTCTGCACTCTTGTGGGATGTCAGTTTATGACCAGACTTCCTAATTTATTTCTTCTCAGCCCTTCTATGTTCTCCCCTGCTGTCTCGCTTTGCTGTGTGATCACATGCCATCTGCTGGTCTAACCCAATGATGGCTTGCTGCTACTGCCATTTTTTATATATATACATATATATATTTTGCCTGGCAAGAGAAAGAGTAACATTGCTGTCGTTACCATAATGCTCCACCTCCCTTTTCATTGCTTTCATGGTTCCCYTCCTGAAAAAGTCCCCATGATGTACAGTGCTACGCCTGCTACTGTTTCTGCAGCAACTACTCCTGCCACAAGTGTCCCCTACGCAGCAACAGCACCAGCCAATCAGGTTTGCTTCTTTTTAAAGCTTTCTGTCATAAATCCTTCAGCTCTCGATAAGTGCTTCATCTTTAAATCAGGGGGGATTCTCCACCAGCGTTGAGGTGCTTTGCTTGCTTTAGTCATAAAGCTGCATACCTGTAGGCCTTCAGCTGCATTTTGTTTTGTTTTTTCTTTTATCACAGATATTAGTGTGGCTTTATTGCATGTTTTATGCTTTGTTCAATGTAATTTCTTTTTGTTTTGTTTTTTCCAGTCTGAATGTTAGCGCTAGGATCTCACCTTACAGTAAATATCATTATTATTACCAGGCTTTTATTATTTATATATTGTTGAACTAAAACGTTAGTCATGAGTGAAAGTTGTACATCAAACAGTCACAAATGGTTCCTGTATTTATTTAAAGGTTTGTTTAAAATTTATAGTCCTCAACATGACACTGCTTAAGCCCCATTAGCCTAATCCAGTTTTAGAAGTAAACAATACATAACATTGAATTACACCAAACTTTTAATTGAAATCAAAAGTATGCTATGCTACATTCATAAAAATGAGAAACTCAGTTTGTTAAAATGTGGAAAGTTGCAACAAAACAGGTATTTGCAATTTCCTTAGTTCTGACTTTTATCAGACACATGTACAAAGAAAATAATTAAGTTATTTTTTATGTAACAAACTACATTTTAGTAGCTAACTTATCTAACTTTTATTGCACAGTGCCTCAAAGTAACAAAGCAACATAGAATGCACCATCAGTAAGTCACTAGTACCTCAGCTGTTTCCTTTTTTTTTTTCATTAAAGACTTTATTATGCTCAAAGGTGGCATGTAAAATTCAATACTTTTCTGATAACGTGATTTTTTTWAAATGCTTTTTAATGAAAAACATCAATAATACCATTAGTAATGCATCATAAGACCAAACTAGACATTATGATGTTTATTTAAACAATAAAATACTTTAAGATATGATGATATTTCAGGCATTTCTTGTTTTTTTTTTTAAGGATAATGATATGAAGTGATGCATCAAGCTAGACATGACAGTATTTGATGGGAATTTTTAATGAAGGGAAACTTACAGGTGCTGGTCATAAAATTAGAATATCATGAAAAAGTAGATTTATTT